CAATCCTGAAAACCCTGGGCATTTGCAGGGGGTCGGTGATCGTTCTGTTGGTGGAGAGGGTGAGGATAGTGTCTCTGGTGAACGGGTCCGTTGGGGTGACCAGAACGGGTTACTGTGGCGGAGCTGGTGTGACCTGGGGTCGCTGGGTGCCCGAGCCCCACGGCCGTGCCCGGAGCCCGGCTGTGGCTGAACTCAGCTGTGCGCAGCGTCCCTCCGCTCAGGGGTCTCCTCCTCCCTCCTCCTGTCGGGGCAGAGTTGGGCTCTGTCCCTGCCCCGCGGGCCCCGAGTGACGGGGGTGCTGCGCCGCGCTGCGTGCCGCTGACGCGCCGGCAGCCGGGCCGTGACGCGGGGCTGCGGGGGCTGCGGCGCTGCGCACCCCACGGCCGAGCCGCGGAGCCCGCGCCCCGACGCTCCGTGTTGGGGCAGAGCCTCATCAGTATTCTGGTGCGAGGCCGGGCTGGCGGGAGCTGGTCTGCAGAGCCCGGCGCGGCGCTCGGGGCTCTCCTGCAGCCGCAGAGGGGCTCGCCCGCCGTCCCCTGGCACTGCACGGAGCCCGCCCGCTCTCACGCTGTTCGCCTGGGCCAGGCTGCAGCGCGTGTGCTGGGGTGCTGGGCACCCCGTGGCCCGGCCGGGTCACCTCTGTCCCCTGGCAGCGCGGCTGGGCAGCGGTACTGAGCCCGGTCTCTTGCCCACGGTGCCACCGACGGGGCTGCCGGCCTCAGGCGCTCTGCAGCCCCGCTAGCGTGCATGTCCCCGGGCTGGCTGACGTCTGTCCTGTCCTCCTGGTCTGCCGCCGGCATCTGCCTGCTGCCAGGGTGCTGAAAACGGCTCTGTCTGTGCTGGGAATCTCATCCCTCCATCCCCAACTGCCGAGGCGTTCGTAGACACCTCAGTGCCGGTCCCTCGTCCACGCTGGACGTGTGTCTTGCTGCAGCGAGTCTCCCAGACTCGGGCCCCTCTGCAGAGCAGCAGCACCTTTGAAGCCAGGCGGGGTGGCGGATGCAGCCATCCCATCCTGAATGTCCCCTGGCAGCAAAGCCTTCGCATCTGAAAACAGCTGGAGCAGAAGTACCGAGGCCGGTTAGGTCTGGAGGAGCACAGTGGAGCGTTTGACCAGGCACGGTTCAGACTTCTTTTCCATTCTGGGGCTCCACCCTGAACCTCACACTGGGGACCAGCCAGCAGTGGAAAGTTCCCTGACTCTCGGACTGTCTTCCAGTGCAGCTGTTGTTTAGCCTCTCATGGCTTTTTGTTAATTTAAGCCAGATGTTCATTGCCATAATATTTGTAACATGAGTGTGACTCATAAAAGTACTGGTAGGAGGCTAACTTGCTTCTGTCCCCAGGCACCTGCCCCAGGTCAGGATTGCAAAAGCACAATGTCCCTGTTACGTCCCAGCTCTCAGAGCTCGTCTGCTTCCGCAGACCCGCACAGCACAGGGGACTCCAGCAGCTGCCTCCTTCCCACCAGGCAGGTGAACTGGAATCTTTGATTTGCACTAGATATGCGCACAGCACCGGCCAAACCCAGTGTAATCACGGACTGAACTGCCTAAAAAGAGACGCTTACAGGTGTGTGGGGCACATTTCATCAGTGGCTGTCTCTAAACACCAGTGGCTTCTGGTTTCCTGGTCTCATTTTCAGGAAAATTCTTCCATCAGTCGCCGTTTCAGCCGTGGTGGCTGAGGAGGCAGCCAGAGCCCCTGTGCTGTCCAGATCTGGTGGGGTTTGAGCCCTTCCTTGGCCTGCAGCCCTCTGCCGCCAGAAGTTGTATCTGAGGCTGTTTTAATCTATTTTTATTTTAGATGTCTTCTGTTCTTTCTGCAGGAATAATGCCAGGGGGATCATATCAATGTATGTAGTATATGGAAACCTTTGCCTCTTGACAGGCTCATTAGGTAAAAATATCGTTGTTACTGTAGTGAAGACCAATGTCTTCTTGGAGTATAGCAATAGAGGTGGTGTACATATATTTCTTCTCAGTGCTGCTGGAGGCCCCGGCTGAATTTTGTGCCTAGGTTCTGGCACTGCATTTAAAAAAAGGTTGTAGACAAACTGTAGAGAATTGAAGGGGATGCATTAAAAACACTAATAGCTTTAAAAATGCGGACCTCAGTGGGACAGTGCAGGAGATGTTTAGTTGAGGTGCACACTCTGTGTTTCTCGGTACGTTTGAGGTTGCAGGGAGGAATGCAGTCTTTTATTCTTCATGGCTGATGTGGGTATGGCAGAAGTAATCGGCTTTATATGCAGGCAAGGGGATTTGGAGAAGATGGTGGGAGGAGGAAGAATGGGAGCAGCGCGGATGGTGCAGTACTGCAGTGGGCTTAGGGAGGTCGTTAAGGATGGGTCAGACTCCCCTCGGGGTGATCCACACACGTCTGGTCCCGCCTCGGCAGAGGAGTGTGTGGTACATCATCTCTTCCAGCAGATAGTTCTGTGATTCAGTGATACCTTAAAGCCCAGAACTTGCCAGAATATTTTAAAAAGATGAGATTCATGTAGAAGGTGAACCATCTGGCATTGTTACAGTAAAAGTTAAACCCGGGATTTTGGGAAGGCATGAATATAGATGGTCCCACTTCATTACAGGAACAAGTTCCGATCCCTGGGAGCGAGGAGAGGTGCAGAGCGTGGCTGGGGAGGGGCTTGCGAGGTTACTGGTCTGGTTCCCTGCCCAAAGGCTGGTTACCTGTGTCTGAATTACTCCTGACAGACGTCTGTGTGATCGTTCTGACAGCTCCGGTGATGGAGACGCCACGGTCTCGGCAGCCGGCCTCGGCTGGTGTTTAGCTCTCTTTGGAAGACGTTCCCTCGTCATTGCTTTCTGCAGCGTTCCTCGCTCCTCGCTGCAGTGCGGCTGCTCCTGGGGACAGGACACCAGATGATGTGGATGAGGGTCGGATCCAGTCTGGCAGCTCGCGTGCTCCCGTGACCTTGGCACAGACGGCAGAGCTGTAGCTCTGGCGGGTTGTCAGCCGCCTTCTGCTCAGTTTCAGACACCGGTGGCCGTTGGCTTGGAGGGAGGGGAGCTGGGTGCGTCCTGGCTTCTGCCCAAGAGGCGCTGGCGTGGTGTGGGGAGAGGCATCTCTGAGATGGCCCTCGGTCTGGGTAGCGGCTCCCTGTGTTCAGCACCGTGTAGCAGGGAGGGTGTACTTCTGAATTAGAGATTTTACTGTCTGAAAGCTGCAAGGGAGGAGAAGGACCTCCAGCTGAGGGAGGAGGCTGCTGGGCGATAGTTGTGCTTCTGCAGCGTGGTGATGGTGGTCCGTGTTATTAACAGGGGTGGCGGTGGGAGGTGGATGGTGGAAGAGGGAGGACGGAGAAGGGAGAGGAAGGGGCTTGCTTTGCTGAGGTGTTGGCTGTGCCGTGGGGAGGGGAAAAGCTGAAGCCAGTGGTGCCTCATGGCCAGGTGGGATTTAGCTGCGTCCTACAGCTGCGGGCAGTGACCAGGGCTGGGTGCATCCACAGACAACTGCAGGGGACGTGGGGTGTTGCTCAAGAAAACTGTGAAGGCACACTATGAGGAATTGAGGAGAGGGCACTAAGTCCAAAAAGGTGGTGGGATTTCAGAAGAGTCGAGGCAATAGAGTCAAAGACTCCTGGATAAGGAGGAGGAAAAGGAGGTGCTGACGTTAAGATGTTCCCTGGAGAGGCCTTGAGAGGTAGGAGAAAACCTGGGCAGGTTTGGCAGACAGAGCTTTCAGAAAAGAAGAAATAATTTAAGGGGGAGTCAAGCATCCTTTTTTTTTTTTTCTTTCCCCCTCCTCAGAGGGAGCACAGATCATGCTTGCACTGAGGAGGAGGAAAGTCAGGAAGAGGGAAAAGGCATTAAGAGTGGAGGAGGAGGAGGGTCGAGGGGCAGTGCTGGAGGCAGGGACTGCAGTGCCAGAGGAGGGGGGGGCTCTGCAATGGGGGGGCTCTGGCAGGAACGGCCCGGCGGGAGGGAGGGCCGGAGGTTAAGTGCGGTGTGTTCGGCCAAGCCGGGGGGCTGGGGGGCTGGGGGCTGGGGGGCTGGGAGGGACCCCCGGGGCAGCTGCTGGTGGCGTTCACTGGGGAGACGCAGCTTTAGGAAGGGGGAGCAGGCGGCGAGAGGGGGGTGAGGCAGCGGCCGGGGGGGGGGGTGTGTGTGTTTGGGGGGGTATCGCTCGGTACGGGCCCCCCCCCCCCCCCGTGTGTGTGTGTGTTTGGGGGGTGTCTCTCGGTACGCCCCCCCTGGGTGCGTGTGTGTGTGTGTGTGTGTGTGTGTGTGTGTTTGGGGGGTGTCTCTCGTTACGCCCCCCCCCCCCCGTGTGTGTGTGTGTGTGTGTGTGTGTGTTTGGGGGGTGTCTCTCGGTACGCCCCCCCCCCGTGTGTGTGTGTGTGTGTGTGTGTGTGTTTGGGGGGTGTCTCTCTGTACGGCCCCCCCCCGGGTGTGTGTGTGTGTGTTTGGGGGGTATCACTCGGTACGGCCCCCCCCGGGTGTGTGTGTGTGTTTGGGGGGTGTCTCTCAGTACAGCCCCCCCCCGTGTGTGTGTGTGTTTGGGGGGTATCGCTCGGTACGGCCCCCCCGGGGGGGGTGGGGGGGGTTCTCCCGCACGCGGGAGCAGCGCGCCCCCTGGCGGGCGCTGCCGGCCCCGCGCCGCGACGGGGGCACCCGACACCGACACCGGCCCCGACACCGACACCGGCACCGGCCCCGACACAGACACCGGCCCCGGCCCCGGCCCCGGCCCCGGCCCCGGCCCCGGCCCCGGCCCCGGCCCCGGCCCCGGCCCCGGCGGGCAGCCGCAGCGCCCGGGCCGGCCTCTGGCCGCTGCCGAGCGCCGCGGGGGCGGGCTCGGGGCCGGGTGCGGGGCAGCGCCCGCCCGCCCGGGGCTCGGGGGCGGGCGGCGGCCCAGGGAGGGCGCGGCCCCAACCCCGGCCCCGCTCCCGGCCCCGTTCCGGGGCGGGCCCGGCCCCGCGCTGGCGGCGCGCCGGAGCGCGGCCCGGGCGTGCCGGCGCGGCGTGGGAGCCGGGCGGCGGGCGGCGAGCGGGGTCCCGCCGCGCCGCCTCGCCGGGGCCGGCGGCCCGGGGCCATGGGGCAGCCCCGGCGCTGACGATGGCGGAGGGCTGGCGATGGAGCGAGGCGGGCCGGGGCCCCCCGCGGCCCGGCCCCCGCCGCGCCGTCAGCGTCTGCGAGTCCCTGGACCTGCAGGGCGTCCCCGCCGTCCAGGCCGCCCTGCGGGCCGCCCAGCAGCAGCGGCGGCGGCCCAAGAGCTTCTGCGCGGCGGGGAACGGGCTGGCGGCCGCGGGCCTGCTGCCCCCGCCGCCCCCCGCCCGCGCCCGCGGCAGCTTGCTGGACTTCTTCAGGCTGCGCTCGCCCCGCCAGCCGGGCCCGGGGGCCGAGGCCGGGGGCGCGGCGGCCCTGCTCGACGGGGCCGACGGGGCGCGGCGCCCGCGCCCCAGCAGCGTGACTTTCCTGCCCTCGGCCCGGCAGCCGCGCCCCGCCGAGAGCCCCGGCTTCCTCCGGGGGGGCTCCCTGTGGGGCAGCCGCCGCTGGAACCTCTTCGGGGGCAGCGGCCGGAGCAGCCCCGGCCCCAGGAAGAACTTCAGCTCCCTGCGCAAAAGCTTCAGCTTCCGCCTGCGCCGAGGCCACGAGCTGCGGCGCTCAGAGTCGGGGGGGCTCCTGCGCCCCGCGCGTCTCCGCACCAAGAGCGAGGGGGACGCCAGCTCCCTGCACACCTGCCCCAGCAAGCGGGACCTGCTCTACCCGGAGCTGGCCAGGGTCGGGGGCAGGCTGCACGCCGACCCCGGGCAGGCGGGGGGCCTCTGGAAACTCCTCACGAGCCGCTTCCGAAGGCGAGAGCGTGGCAGCACCGGCAGCGCGTGCCCCAAGGACACCCACGGCAGGGCCGAGCCCGTCCTGCTGGGCAGCGGCCCACTGCGAGCGCTGGGTAAGTGAGCGCGGGAGCGATGCTGCTCTGGCGAGAGCAGCCCCCCTGCACCCGCGGGGGCTGGGGGGACAGGCGACCGTGGCCCGTGCCAGCCGCGGTCCTGGGCTGGGCACGGGCACCCACTTGCATCCCCATGCTCTGCGGGGTTTGCGCTCAGGAAAGCTCGGCTGCAGGGAGGAAGCATGAGGGTTGGGGGGGCCGTCTCACCCTCCAGCACCCGGTGGCCCGTCGTCGTCGTCGGTGCTGAAGGAGCGGCAGCGTGGCTAGCCGAGAGGAGATGCTGTGGGGGTCTGGGTTCCCTTGCTGGCCAGACACCTGGGAGCCAAGTGCGGGTCCCCCACGTCCTTGCCCCAGTGGCGTGCCACGAAGGGCAGGGAGAGCTGAGCCTCGCGCAGCAGCATCGGAGGAAGCAGAGGGAACTGAAACTCTGTGGAAGAGGGAGAGGGGTCCTGTTAGTGAGCTCCTGAGTGGGTGCTGAACTGTCTGGGAGGTGGCCGGGGTAGAGGTGCAGAGCGGCACACAGGGCTTGGGGGGCACAGAAACGTCCTTGTGCCTCCCTCCTGTAAGCAGCTCCCCGGTGCCAGGCTCTGGGCAACGCTCTGCCAGGGTCTCCCCTGGGGCTGGATGGAGGCCGTGCGTTCGGGAGCACGGCGGTGCTCGCCAGGCGTGGGGCAGGCCGTGGTGGGGGCATCCCAAGTGATGTGGCAGAGGTTCAGAGGGCAGGACTGGCTGCGGAGGGGTGACGGGACCCCCGTGGGGATTGAGCACACGATGGGGGCTGTCACCTGAAGCAGGCGTCGGGTGCTCGACTGTCTGATGTTTGGCCTCGCTGCTGTGGGCTGTTCCCCTGTGCCGGGGCTGCCCGGGTGTGCGGGGGCCAGGCAGCCTGTGCCTCTGTGCCCCATCCTGCTCCCCGGCTGCACAGCCTGCCCAGCCCTGCCGAAGGGAACGTGCGGGTGAGCCCTGCCGCCTGGCAGGGGCTGGGAGCTGGGATCAGCATCCACAGGCTTTTTAAGGCATTGAACGCTGGCCTGCACGCACGGAGCTGGGGGCTGGGCTGGGCCGGGACCTGCCGCTCGCTCTCGAGGAGGCCGGGCAGCCACTTTCTGGCACATGTGAGCCTCCTCGGGTTTCCATGGCTTTGCTCTGGAGCCTGGGCATTGTGGAAGCAGTTCCCCATCTTGGCTCGTGTGCCAGAGGGACGGATTGGGGCTGGTGGGCTCCCCGAGCAGTCCGCGTGCTCCCAAGGCAGTGGCTGCCCGGAGGAGCTGCGTGCCCGGGACGCTTTCCAGGAGGGCTGGGCTCCAGGCACCGGCGCAGGAGCGGCATCGCTGGCAGCCTGGGCTCCGCCGCTGCGCAGAGAGTTCAAGGGACTCGTCCCCGCTGGTCCCCCTGGTCCGCGAGGCTCGCTGTGCCTCCCCGGGAGTGGTCCTGGAGGCTCCGTGGGCTCCGGGTGGGCAGCCAAGGCTGCCTCTGCGCGCCCCAGGGTGAAGGGACGGGGTACGGCTGCTGCGCTCCCCTGCAGTGCGCTCCTCCCGGGGGTGCCCAGGGCTGGGTGCTGGGTGGCGGGAGGTTCCCAGGCGAGGGGAGGCTGCGCTCACGGCTGGGGAATGTGGGTGTATCCAGGCAGGGAGGGCTGGGCCCTGCCCGTGCAGTGGGGGGCCTGTTCCTGCTTGCCGGCGGCTTCCAGCGGGAGCTGCGCCAGCAGCAGCCGGCCCGGCGGCCGCATTCCCAGGGGAGCAGCTGAGGTTGAGCGCCTGTGTTGGTGTCCTCGCCCCTCACCTGGGTGCTCCGCTGGGACAGGCAGGGCCTCCCTGTGGGCCCATCTGGAGAGCCCTCCGAGGCTTCTCTGGGGAGCACCGCGCAGGGCTCGGAGCCCTCCCTGGCAGCCACCAGCCAGCCAAAGCAAGACCACTGCTTGTCGGGTTGGCTCGCATTTGCTACCGTGGCTCGTCCTGGAGGCACAGGCTCAGAGATGACCTTTCCAGACTGCCTCTGAGACTGCGGCTCGTGCAGCAGAGCGAGCCCTGCTTGCTGGAGCTGCAAGGTTCACACTTTGGTTTGGTGTTCGCTTAGAACACCATTTTTGCCATTATCTATCTGCCTGGTATGCAGTTCAGGCCTCTGTCCAGTTACAGTATGTCCTCCTGGGGTCAACGAGATGTGAAGTCGCTGTTGCTTGTCCTGCCTTACATCCTGGCTCCCCATCGTCTCCCAGCGTGTTGGTCTGTGGGCTCTGGCTCGCTCCGGGCGGGAGCCGTGAGCCTCCGTACGACACTGTAGACTGGGGGTGCACAACCTTTGTGCTGCCCCAACATGGACTTTCTGAATGCGGCAGCTCAGATCTCTGCCCCGTTCCTGTTTCAGACTTGTAGGCCAATAGTGTTTCTAACACCCTCTCGACGTGGCAAAAGCTTTGATGCTGTATGCTAGTGCTGCCCACCTTAGCCCTAGGAAAGCTGCTGAGCAGTCCCAACACGCCCTCCCAAGGGGGTGCAGCTGCAGTTGCGGTTATCAGCTCTTTGGAAAAGCTGGATATGTGAGTCGAGGCAGAGATCCAAGCCAACACTGCTACCCTGTTTCCAGTACCTGGAATATTTTGTTTATAGCAAGCTGAGATACCCATTCAGCGCTGCGCTCTGCTGTGTAGACATACCCAAGGGCCAAAAAGCTCGACCCACCAGAGAGTCAGGAGGATGGTCTCGGTGCTGCTCCCCCAGCCCTGCTGAGACCTCCTTTGGTCTGCATGGGTAACGTTCGCTCCCTGCTGAGGGGGGGTTCAGCCGGGACCAAGCACAGGGAGTGAGGGTCAGGGGAATGCAGAGTTTGTTAGGTGGAAAACACTTAAAGATCTGGTCTGTGTAGCAGGGTGAAGGCAGACGGGGGGGTGATCTTCTGTTAATGCACCAAGGGAGGGCAGGAACCCTTGGAGCTGGAGGACAAAGTCAACACAGAGTCCGGCCAGCTTGGAACTGATCACAAATAATCATGGTCAGCGGTTCAGAGGAACGTTTCTAGGTATTAAGGTATCGGCTGGTAGTTCTGAAGAAGATCTGTGATAGGCACAGGCTTGGAAAAACTGGACTGGGTTGGGATTGGAGTTTTCCCTGCGTATGGAGAGAGCAAGTGATAGGTACAGCATCTCCGACAGTGCAGGAAGTGTTTCTCACAACCATATTCCCCTCTCCAAGAAAGACGCCCTGTTTTAAAGTGCTTTAAGGTTTAAGGTTACTCCCTTTCCTCTCGTGTTTGGCCCCACAGAGAACTAACGTATAGGGCATGGGTGAGAGAAGACTGCTGGGAGGAGGGTGTTTTTACATTAATAAGGTGAAGTTTGCATGGTGAATTGAGTAGATAATGATATCTATTATCTCTTGTTGGTACCTGCCTCGGGTTAGCTGGGAGTGTTGGTGAGAAGCACAGATGTCACAATGGGTTTAGAGACCATGCCTTAAATACTGAATCCAGTCTGGTGTTCACGCTTCAGAAAAACTGAAGAAGTCTGGAGGGTATCAAGGAAGAGTTGTTGGGACAGCGATTTGAAAGGCCTCGTTCTCAAGACGAGATTGGAGGAGATGTGTGCAGTGGGTGCAGAGCTGCTCTGATTGCAGTCTACAGGCATCCACAGAAGAGGGAACTTCAAAAAATAGTGCCTTTCACATCTTAACCTGCCTTTGCTTGTGGGGCTAAACAGCTAGAGCCGAGGTCAGACAGAGCTGGAACATGTTTTTACCATTGAGGTAGGTCCCCACAGAGCACTTGTGTTGAGGAAGTGGTGGGTTATCTGTCTCTCCACGTCACTGGCTCTGCTGGGTTGTCCCTTCCAGCAGACCCTGTTCAGCTGTCAGAGCATAGAGAATTTGGTACGGTTCTTTGGTCTGCATGTATTTGGACGTGGACTGGGAAGTGGTAGGTGCTGAGAGCCTGAAAACGCGTGGCTCTTCTGAGGTCTGTGCTCCGCACAGCATACATAGCGTGATGGCCCCAGCTGCTGCTGCGTGGGGTATAGCTGAGGAGCAAGGGTGGCAGTGCGTAATCACGCCCTTTTTTCCCAGAGCTATGCAAGATCCTCTCCTTTCACTGCTGAAAGCACTTAAAGATCTGGGGAGATAATCCTTTCTAAGATGACGTCCTACGCAGCGCATCCGCGTAGGCTAAGCTCTCTGACGAGAACGCTAGCCTTGCCCGTGTTGGTCCTTGACCTGGAGAAATCCCTTCCTACCAGCATTGCCACGGTTGAGCCTTTATCAAGCCTGGCTTGGAAAAGGTGGCTCTGCCCGGGCACGTCGCACTCTGCTGCCCTTTTATCTGCGTGTGCGGGCAGATGGGTGCTTTGGAACATGGTTTGTGTGGGCACTGCTGTGTTTGCTCAGCCTCTGACCTGGTTTCAAGGCTGAGTTTAGTGTCCGGGGTTTCAGTGTCCAAGTTAGTTCCACAGTGGCTTGGATAATGAGTTGGTTAATTATTAGTTGCTGTGCGAGGAGACCCGATGTGTCTGGCACTAGTGGTTCTGCAGCACAAGGTAGATGAACCTGCTACGCTTCATCCTATGAAGGGAGCAGCTTGGGTGAGGAGTCAGTTTTGGCCGGCCAGCCCCCTCCTGCTCCCAGCTTTGCCGCAGCAAGAGGATGCAAGCAGAGCCGTGGCTCACTTCCCGCTGAGCTGTCTGTAAAGGCAGAGGGGGCTGCTGTGTCCGGCCTCTGAGATGGAGGGTTCTGGTCTCGCCTCCTCAGTGTGCGATGCTGCCCGTCCCGCAGCTGTGGTCTGGTCTCTAGGTCACTGAAGGTGTCCAGGGTGACTGGCCAGGGGACATCACCTACCTAGGGTGCCTGCTTTATGGCCATATCTGCGTTTCTCCATGGTAGGGACTCTGTCCACCATAACTTCCAAACGGGTTTCCACCTTCTGCAGTAGAGCTGCCTATGCCTGGAAATCTCCATGAGCAGAAGCTTCCAAGCAGCAACAAAATTGGCCTGAATCTCCCTCTTCCAGAACAGGCC